TGGACGCAGGTAATAAGCTGCGTCAAACGGGGCCTGAATCTATATAAGAAACTAACGTCAATCAAACATAAAATTAAACCTAGCTATCACAACAATGTGGCTACCAATCTACAAGTTCAAACACTACTTGAAGCCAAATTCATAAGAGAGTTCAAATATTTTCAGTAGATATTAATAATTATGAAGATACATAAGTTGAACGGTAGTGGGCAAAAGTTTGTTAATTTAACAACTTAAACCTAACACCATGGCCTAAAAGTAGTTGCCCATTAATGTAAATTAATGCCTCGGTCAAATCTGTAATTGGCTATACTATAATGAGCTTCTTAGATACCTTTTTAAGCTATCATAACAAAAAGAAGATGGATCCTATAATCATCCAAAAGAAAATTTTCAGATTGAAGATGGACTAAATTGTTACAACGTATGCCCTTTGAGCTGGAAGAATGCAAAGGCAACTTATCAACAAAAGATTGATCTTATGTTCAAAGATAAAATGAAGAGGAACGATAAATTCGAAGACGATAATCTGCTTGTAAAAAGTGAAAAAACACCCAATAACAATAACACACTCCAATTAAAAAGGAGCTTTCAATACCCTAAAAAAATTTAACATGAAGCTCATCTTCTGAACGTAGTTTTGGTATCGATCAAAGTTCAAACAAATTCTTTAAGATTTATACTTAAACCTCAAGGCATCAAAATAAACTTGGACAAAGTTGAGTCACAGGGGAACATCAAAAAATTACAAAAGCTAACTGATTGCATAGCCAGTATAAGCTATAATTCATATCAAGATTGGATGAGAAGCGGTCGGCATTCTTTAAAAAATCGAGAAGTGCCAAGCAATCTCAGTGGAATAAAGCTGCAAAGAGGAATTCTGAGAGTTAAAATCTGGGTCCATATGTTAATGATATTATTAGTTAAAATCAATTATAATTAATATAATGTATGACAATGATTCTTAAATGATATTAAATGTTTCACTCTTAGTCGCATTACATTACAATATGGTCCATCCTAAGTGCAGCTTGAGCACCATAAATGAAGCGGGGTGTGATAGACATTGATACCTCAGAAGCATTTAAATTGTTAGAAAATAATAGAACTAAAACAACATAGAGCTACAACTTGATCCCTTAGTTGACATATTACAATAGAAAAAGTGGGAGACTAATCTATGTTTCCATTCCATAATTATGTATATATTCAAGCATTCATATAAAGAAATAAATGATACACAATGTAATAGTAAAAGTGACAATACTTAATTAGCAAAATGATAAATTTAAATTTCATTAATCCCATGAGCGTAATTGTACAATCATAAATTTGAGAATCATATATATAATTTGGTGTATGCTAACATTTTAATAAATGTAGTGTAGAAACAAAATTATATAAAAGCAAGCTTAAAAATATAAAATAAAATTAGTATAAACCAATCGTAACTCATGGCCCAATTAAATTGAGTGAATCCATCCGCCATCACAAGATTAAATTTTGAAGCACAATTTTTTATATACATTTTGAGTTATGCATTATCAGCACACACTCGTAATTAAAAATAAAATATAATTAAATCATGTGATAAGCTTCACTAACAAATCTAGAACTAAACGTACTGTAAAAAATTAATGTATTGTACTGTCATGCTTAAATTTGTTCAAATTATTCAATCAGCTAAAGTAATATATAATTAATAAAAACTAATCCTTTGATCATATTATAGATATGTATCCTAATGCGCAATATATTATATTTTCAAATAGATCAACAGAACTCATTTTTATTAATTAAAGAATTCAAAAATTAAACTAACTGTAATATACATTTGATTTTCAAGATTAATTTAATTAACATATATTTGAATTTGAATTGATTGTACCAAAAGTTCAACTTGTAATTTAAATTTCAAGTTAAAATCAGCATTAATCGAGGCTTTTCTAAATATAAAGGCTAATGATTATTAACAGGGTTTCATTACTACGGTGGATAGTAGTAGGCAAAGCAGTTCATATAATTGCAAACCTTGATAGAGCTAATCTAAAGAAAGGAAATCAAAGAATAATAAATGTCTACAACAACATCTCATTCTTCTACAAATCATAGATCTTCAAGGTTAAGTATTTAGATATAGTAAAGCTTGCTCATCTGATCTAAGGAAAGTTCGTGAATCTTGACAAAATTTTTGCCAAAATAAAGGTTGCAGAACTAGACCAAACATCAAACCGAAAAAAAAAAAGTAAAAATTCAAGGTTCGGTAAAAATTCAAGGTTCGACCAAAAGAACTAGACCAAACATCAAACCGAAAAAAAAAAAGTAAAAATTCAAGGTTCGACCAAAGTTGAACCATATAACATAATAAATATAAAAATTAATGAAATGTGAAATAAATGATGCTATAATGATGTAATAATGTACCAATAAAATAATAAATAAAATAACCCATGACTAAATTACATGTAGGCCGGTAAAATTAAAGTCCACAATTTAAAAAATTTTACTGAAAAAGTATGCCATTCTTAAACCTCAAAGTGAACAAAGAGCAAACAATTGTGCATATTCATTGATAAATGTGCAGGTCTACATTTGAGGTCATACAGCAACTGCATGAGATAAACATGCAAAGCAAAAGGCGGTATAGTAGCAAAAAATCACATTAGTTCTCAATAATTAGAATATAATCCGCGATTTATCCATACAAAGTTTCTATCCATAAGAAAAAAATTTCAAAATGAAAGGCAATACCCATCAATTACCTACAAAAATCTGAACATCAGTGCAATACAAGTGAAACCAACCAACGTACACGCCAATCAATCATCCATGGCTGCTTCACAACTTAATATAGACAGCTCCTTGGAAACAAAGAAAGGACCAAAAGGAGACGTGGTGCGGGCAAATTGACGGTGAATTTACATATAACACCACAAAAGGGGAAAAATGCAGAAATAAAAAATATTGATAGGTAGGAGGCAAGCGGCAACAAATATGGTGAGTGGCCTGAACAGCGGCAAATGGCTGAGAACAGGAAGTCTCACTCAAGCAAGGAAACAGGAAGCAGGAAGCGGAAGAGTTGGAGCTTGCCTCTTGGAGCAAATATTAGGGATTTAGATTTGCGAGATCTACTCATTTACTGCTTATCCCTTGTTAAAATATTAGCCCTTGGATCACGCCTCACATGCAATTGAGTGGTTCTCGCAAACCGCAACCGGTTCGCCGGTTGAATGGTAGAACCGTCATTTCATGTAGTTCCAAGCAATCCAAATATATAAACCATTCTGTATGTGATCCGGCTTGGACAAGCCACCGTTTCATGGTTGAACAGGCCAGTCCGGTCAAACTTTTAAAACATTGGCTTAACAGGTTGTACTATGAGCTGATGTCTTGAAATGGACATTAACTAACTAGTAGATAGTTCTAAAAGTAGCATGGTTCTCACTACGAGTGTTTGGACTTTCTTTTACCTATAAAGGAGAGATTTCTTCACCCTACGTTAGTGAATGAGAGATTAATATAAGTTTTGAAAGGACTCGGGAGTGGATGTAAGCATGTTAGGCTGTTTAACCAAAAGAAATTGTTGGCACTGTTTGCTTTTTTCATGCACAATTTACCTGTGTATCGGCTATTTACTCTTGAAATCTTTTTGTAATTTTATTTTATCATACTCATAAGATTTAGAGGGGTGAATAGAAAAGAAAATAGTAATCCTAACAACCTTGAGTTTAAGTGGGGAAGACACCGATAGTGCCAGACTCGAAAAAAAATTACCATGAGCTCATTAAAGCGTCTTTATCAGCCTCCAGAAAGGTTTCAATTAGCAGGAGCATATTCAGGAAGGAAAGTTCCACCGCCTTCTTGAACCAAGATGTCCTCTCCAGAAGGTTCTCAATTGTTTAACTGACAGCTATAGTGTTGTATTATCATTGAAAATGTAACAAACTTTTTCTCCTTAGAATTATTTTCAGGACTGATGGACTGTTCCCAAAGATTTTTTCGACCTCAGAAGGCTTCAGAAATTTGGATATATTATAATGAGAATCTGGGAGGATCCCTCAAGCCAAGGCAGTATTTGAAATTACAAAAATATAAGAGTATCCAAGAGTTTTCTTCGGCCCAAATGCTCATTTCATGGTGCAGAATTCTTCCACTTGCCCAAAGGTCCATTTTGAAAAATTCTTCGGGTTGTGTAACCATAAAAAGTATTTCAGACTTCCTATTTCTTTCTCAGTTCTGTCGCTGCCAAATTGTTAGATATAGTTCTTGTCTTTGTCTAACATGTAAGATGTAAGGTTCTAGCTGATTTTATTACACCCCTTTTCTCTGTCAAGAAAGATTAGAGACGAAGGTTAGGGTACAACCTAAGACAAATTGCCAAAAATTCGGCCTATGAAATCAACATGTAAGACTTGCAAAAACAAATTCTAATACAAGAACATCTTGCCCTTTATGACAGGTGGGAACATGAGGCGCATTCTTTTCACTCCCATAACAATAGGAAAGTAGTGAGAAAAAGAACCCTTTTCATCAACTATAAAAAAATCGATTTCGCAATAAAAACACTCACCCATTGTGTCCATTCGATCAAAAAGTTCGGAGAAGGTGGGCTTGGATGTATTTTCGACTGCCACGGATACCGCCAGTTCAAAATGAGGTGTATCAAGAATTTGACCTGCCTTCGGCGTTTCAACTCATGGGCGAGTAGCAAAGTCAATCGGCTCAAAGGATATATTTGTATCCCCCTAACAGCCCAAGAATAGCCTTCCCGATCGAAGGTCGAGCCGATTTTTTTCCTACCTAAAAGTTTTTATTTCTTATGATCCCCTCGCAAAGGTTGCTAAACCTACCGCGAAGAATTTTGGTCGTCAGATCAGTTTGTGACTAGGTGAGATCCATCATCGCAAAAGAGGAACAAGTCAAATCATAAAGAAGGTTGAGAGTTCAATCAAATGAGATTCAAAGAAGGCCCATCGCTCTATTTATAAGCCAATAGTTCAGAATTCAACAAAGTAGTTTCATTATGAGTATTTATTTCTTTTTTCAATATTAATTATTGAAATTTTAATTCTCTTTCTTATTGCAGCATAGCTTCGACCCATCGCTCTATTTATAAGCCAATAGTTCAGAATTCAACAAAGTAGTTTCATTATGAGTATTTATTTCTTTTTTCATTATTAATTATTGAAATGTTAATTCTTTTTCTTATTGCAGCATAGCTTCCTAAGATACAAGAGAGTTAAGGAACTAAATATATATAGTCATTAAGTAACTATACAAATAACCATTAATCTGATGGTTCATGTTATTATGAATTTAATGGCTTCAATCTCACCACTCATTAGAGATCGCCCGGGAGAAGCAAGCCAAGGTCGAGTGCCTGAGGCTGAGTGATCAAGGTCGAGTGCCTGAGGCTGAGTGATCAAGGTCGAGTGCCTGAGGCCGGGTGACCGAGGTCGAATATCAAACATTGAGTGACCAAGATTGAGCGTCTGAGGTCGAGTGACCAAGACTGAAAGCCCGAGGCAGAGTGGCCGAAGTAAAGTGCCTGAAGCCAAGTGATCAAATCAAAGTGTTTGGAAACAGATTAGTGGAAAGTGGGCATTCAACGATAGGTAACCAAAGTCGAATATGGGAAGCCAAATGACTAGAAGGCTATTATATAAAGTCAGATGTCTCCTCCACATCCCAACGATTCAATCGAAATTTCACTTTCGGAATATGAAATAGCTAAGTCTTGAAATCTATGATAGTATTGGCCCAAAAGCATCATTTGATCAGTATCTTGGCCATTACAAATAAGGAAAATTAAATGTAATAGGTGGTGCTGAAAAAATACATTCTATAAAGATCTTTAATTCAAGTGTTTCCTTTCCAATCTCTCTCTCTCCCTCCCATCTGTTCTTCTAGTTCCTCAAAAGCACTCTCTCTTTCTCTCTCTTTAGTTTATGCTCTACTAGTTGGGTGTGATTCAAGGACAAATCTAGGAGCAAAAATGTCATATAATAATACGAAAGAAAGAGTAATATAACTAAACCCAATTTATAGAATGATAAGGTTGAAGTCCCTAAAATACAAGAAAAGTAAACCAACAAGGTAAGAGAATCACTTTATAAGGATTATGATGCACCATAGAAGCAGAAACTAAGTTCATGCAATAGACACAAGACAATATCATACCATTAGAACTCACAGGTTAATTATCAAACCTAACAATGAGAGATGTTAATGCAACACATGGAAGAACGATACAAGTATGTTTAGTACTTAATTATTATAGTTTTAATCATCTGTAAACAGCTTCAGCATAAGCATATATGCAAAAAATGAAGAGATCCTTAGTCCGTCACAACTTTATTAGGAGCAAAGAGATGGTATAAACGCAAAACCAAAATTCAGCCCTATATAAAGTCTATGTGGCAAAGTTACTTTCAAAAACAAAATAATGCATAACTTTTAAGAAAACAATGCATATTTTTTAATTAATAAAGCTTAATATGTTTAATGGGGAAAATGCCGCAGCGCATTAATGTGTATGTTTACTGAAGTGAAAGTAATAGCCATGAGAATACCTCCAAGACAGATGGGAACAATGCCATTCCACCAAGAATGCTAAGCCCTGTCAAGTAAGCATTTTGACCTGGTATTTCATCTTGGATTGCAAGAGTGCCATAATCCAAAACTATAAGATGGATCGATGTGAGCACCACAGCTTCAACATATCTAGCCTCCACAACCAACTGAATAGCTGCCGGGATGGAGGAAAGCCAGAATGGCGTAATTGGCAGGATTGCACTTGTGCAGGCAACCAATGTGGATACATAAAGAAAATGTATATGGTAGAATCGAAACAAGAGATATGTGAAGCACCCCTGAAACAGAGCAACTTTCACAGCAGCCAACATCACACTACTAACAGCATGATCAAGAACCACTGCACAACGAACTCTTTTAGACTTGGATATGGGAAGCATGCCAAGAGCATGATCCATGACACCAGATTCAGAAGTGATTAAGGAGTAGAGTAGCCAGAAAAAAATGAAGAGCTGTGAAATAAAACTCAACAAACCAGCAGCACCGGAGATAATCGAAAGAGAAATGGAGAAGAGCAAGTTGGCACTTCCAGACATAACCATCGTGCTGCTTGCCAAGATCTGTTTGAAGATATCAATGCTCTGAAGAGCGAAACCTTTGATCTTCTCCACCAAGTCTTCTCTGGCAAGCACAGAGAGGAATTCTTTTACCATATAATCGGAATCTGCAAAGGTTTGCCTCCATTCTTGGTTACGGATGTGGTGTAGGAGGTTCCGGAGTTTGATGGAGAAGGGGTGGAGGGAGGACTTTTTTGTGATGAAAGATGAGGAATTGGTGGATTCTCCGATGGGTTTAACGAGATACAGCTTGAACTCTTCGGCGAGCTCAGTAACATTGTACTGGAGCGCAAGGGAATCGACATGGTGGACGACGCTGTCGTATAGCTTCGAAGCACCGGATTCAATGAGCTCGGGAACATCGTGATCGTCCATCCAGCGTTGAAGGCCTATCCTTTCCGTATAGTTGTGCTGTTGGAAATGGTACTTGAGCGCGACGACGGCATCGCGGCCCTCGATGGATATCTTGTAGGAGAAGAGGAGGGAGCTGGAGAGAGAGGTGCAGATCATGGCGAGGATGAGATTGATGGCAATGAGGGTGTTGAGGTGACGAAGGATGCGGGAGGTGAGGAAACGGCTAAAGCGGCTGAGGGCGTGCGACGGGGGATCAAAAGCGTGCTTGCTGTTGCGGCGAATGTGACGGGCTGCAGCGATGGCGGAGAGGGTGGCCGAGAGTGGAGGAGCGCGGGTGCGGGTAGAAGCGAGGAAGCCGGGGAGGGCGAAGACGGGAAGGGCGAGGGAACCTAAGCGCTCGTGGAGGAGGACGAAGAAGGCGAAGGAGACGAGCCATCGCATAAGCTTTGAGAAACCGAGGTGAGGAGGCGGGTGATGCGGCTGACTCTGGCGACGAAATAGGCGGTGGAGAGCAGCGTGGGAGTCGATAAGGGAGCTGGCGGCAGACCGCAGGGTGACAAGGGGAACGGCGAGGAGGGTCTCAGGGAGACCAAGGCTTAGCGGATGGGACCAGAATGAGACGAGAGCCGTATGGAGCTCGCGAAGGGGCATCGAGCAGAGTAATGCCCACTGAATTGGTCGCCTGTAGTCCTGCAGCAGCCGGGCTAGACCGTATAACAGGACAAATGATAGGGCTAATCCGCCGTGCGCCAAGGCAATGTAAATGGCGAGCCGCATCGCCTCCTCCCTCGGCAAAACCAATGCCGCCAAGACTCCACCGTCGGGAGCCGGATTGTCTCCCTTCTGCTTCGCTGTTTCCCGGTACTCAGCAGTGTTGCCGCTGCCGCCATCAATATCGGACGATGGCTTTGGGTGCTGTTCTTCGCCGGCCTTTGAGGCCATAGGAAAATGCAAACGCGAAAGCCAATGCAAGGATTAAGGGGTTGCGTCAAACTTCCATATTTATTAATTTCATTCTATTTTAATCTTAAGATTTTCTCACTCAAAAGATTAATCTAAATATGTGCTTGGAATCTCTCTGCATTGGGATTCTCCTGCATTGGGAAAATATTTACGTACGTAAGACGAATATCTAAGACGTACAATATTGGGGGTTATTCAGATGGTGCATGCGGGTTATATTCACTTTATACCCTCATGTAACCTCCCTGTAATTTACCTGTAACTACCGGAACTACAGAAGCGCGAAACTTATTTGTAGGTTACAGCTATATTATAGGTAAGTTACAGGGAGTATAACACTGATATAACCCCTTTGTACCCTCTGATTAACCTCCCGATGTACGCAGCTCTGCGTACGTCTTACGTACACAAATACTTTCCCCTGCATTGGAGATACAAAGTGGGTGTGTGCCCCGGAATTAAAAAGATATTTTTATATATATATTTTTACATATCATAAGCATTAAAATTCCATATTTATTAATTTAATATTCTAAATTTTAATATTAAGATTTTCACACTCAAAAGATTCGGCCAATACAAAAAACACATCATTTCATTTACAATTCAATTTCCACATGCAAGAAATATTTCTCATGCTCTAACTTTAAAAGAAATATTAGGATCGTGAAATACAAATATCTTTAAAACTCTCATCTTTCTCCCCCTCCTGATTTTGTTCTATCGGAGACCTTTAGCGAAGTAATTTCTCCTTCGTTCGGGATTTTTTCTAGAATCGTGGCATATCAAAACCTCTGATACTGCCATATTTCTTCTCATCTTGATCCGACTCTACCAGAGATCATTGATGAAGGTAATCTCTTCTTTGTTTGCTCTTACACTCAACGCCCTTTCACGATTTCTTTTAGGAATTGGGGGATACAAATGTCTCGGAAACTCCGGTCTTTCTCCTCCTTTTGATCAGATTCTATAACAGACTTTTGCTGTGAGAGATATCTTGAGCATTACAATGTGTGTTCCCATTTTTTTTGTTTTTTAGTGAGTCATTAGATTACTTTCTGGTTTTCCTTTATGACAAGAGTATTCATCATTTAACCATCTATCTTTTTTGGTCACTTTTCAATTCAGAGTAACAACTTATATCCAATGAAGTACAAAATATTTATCATATATTGAACATATGGTATTTTATTTTTCTTTTTACTGCATTCATCAAAAAAATTGCAAACTTATTGCATTTTTAATAAAAACTGCAATGGCATTATATCCTAAAACAACATGGTGCTTTATTTATAAGATTCATGATACGACAGGTTTTCTTATCAAGTATTTTTGGTTCTGGTTTGGTTATTACAGTTTAATTTTTTTACTTTAACATGACTAACAAAGTATTTTCTTATTGGCTTGTTTGACGCTCCTTTGTAGCATTAAATAATGTGTTATATGGCTTGCTAATCGCACTATGAGGCATTTTATGGTATAGAGAATGATAATAGCGTGTGTTATTTGTGCTTAAGATACACTGCAGTGCATAGCGCAAGTCACAAATGATGCATGCAATTTTACTACATTTGAAAAGTTATTTGTGAAGCTAAAAATCAATGTTACTTTTCAAGTATGCCTAATTTTTAAATTTAATGAATTTCATTACATTTAAAAACATTTTTTCCAACTCCAAGCAAGCAAATGGGTTGCAAGAGTACTTGAGTTTCAAACAAAAAATCAAGCATTTCACTAAAAGTTGTATTAGTTTAAGTTAATTTATTTCATTATTATCTAAGCTGGTTTAATGAATAAGTGGTGTGGAACCTTCAATTAGTTTCACCAAATTTTCATCCATATTTACACATATTATTTTTTTTCTTATGAAGGGGTGGTGTGGTCTAATTTCAAGATTTATTCAATGATGCATCAAAATGATAACTTATTCATTACATACAAATATGGTTAATATTCGATGCAAGTTAAAAATTAAATGAGGAAAAAATATAAAGTTGGCCACAAGAAAACTATTAAAATTCAAAAAGATATGTTGATTTTGATAATGTTAAAAGAAGAGGTTGAATTGATTTATCTTTGGATTTGAGATATTATCATAAATGTGAAACATTATCAAACGAGCACAAGTTTATACCAATAATGTTGAAGTTGTGGAGATTATTGTTCACTCAAGTGAATATGACTGAGTTGAGGTAGTGATCATCACATAGAGTGGTGGAAAATCTGAAATTTATCCACAAATTCAAGAGACACTCATTATTAATAACATATCAAACTGTTATTATCCGAAATCTAATTGTATCTATAATGAAAGTACTGAGAGAGATATTTGTAATGAGTGATACCTAATTATCCAATTTGTCAGTGAAAATGATTTAAAATTTAGTACACATTTTCATGACTCACATAGTTTTAAGCAATTTCTCCTGTCAATAGCAGTCAAAAAAGGTTTTGGGATAAAATTTACAGGTAGCAATAGATTTAGCATTATTGTTATTTATTTGTATCGAGGATGTCTTTGGAGGGTAAGAGTTAAATTTTGTGTTGATGGACATTCATTCTAGATAAGAGTAAACAGAGTGAGAAACATGCAAGCCACAACTTGTTGGGTTGATCACACAATTAAAGATATTGTGAAGAAAAAATTAAAAATCCCTCTGAGAACATTAATAATAATTTAAAGAACTTATATGGGCTATCACTGCCATATATGAAGTTATGGAGGTTGAGAGAGCTGTCGACCTCATTTTTTTTAGGTCATTAAAAGATTTCTCTACTGACTCTCCTAAAAGACTAGATTGAGACCCGCTCCACTTAGAAATTTGAACCACTCCTTGACTTGTTGTAGTCTCATATGTGTGTTTTCAAATCCTCGACACTTAGTCGAGTCGATTGCAACAAACATATTGAAACATAAGTTGAGTTCTTTTTAAGGACTGTAAAATGTCTTAGGAAGATCATTTGGACTTAGGGGTTTTCAATCTTTTGAAACAGCGCACCACCCTAAACATCCACATACACAACACACACAAACACCACTCTTCACCCATAATTCACTAACCATTATCAAAATCAAATTAAAATTAAAATAGAAACCCTCATAACATGAATTTGACACCTTTCGACACATGTGACGAGTAGCTTGTTTCCTAAAATGTTTTGCTAGACTTTGGTTTGTGACTCGACCCCGAATTACACAATTATTTAAATTCAGAAATATGGTCAAAGGCTTGACCCAATTTATATTCAGTGGCTAGTGTGCAAAATTAAATATTATATAAAGCTGATAAAAAGGGCCACACTTAGGGTACTACGCAAGTATACGTATCGTTTCAAGTAATATAAGATTTTCCTTAAAACCCCCAATATCGACCCTACGAAGATAGCCAAAACTCTTATAAATTGAATTTAATAAAACCTCTTTTAATTGTAGAAAACTTATATATGAAGTGATCGCAAGTTTTTGTTGAATATCTAATCCTATAGAATTAAAGGAATGCTAAGTATGCTAAGCAATTGCAAAATGTATATGCAAAACAATTTAAGAAGGTTTTAAAATGCAAAGTTACCACTAATCTAAACTAATAATGTATGAAGAGTTCAAAATTGTATAAAACATCCTTCCCCTTGCAGTGAGTTTATAATTAGTGTAGGAAAATAATTTTAAAATATCACTAAGGTATTGTGCCAAATAGAAGCAATTATATTCTTTACCCTATGTCAAGTGCATAAAAAACATTAGCTAATCCAGAATTTGGTCTCTCCACCGATGGTTAGGCTGGAAAGATACTAGCTCTCACTCTAGAGTTCTCACTTCCATTCACATGATGGTTAACAACTCACTTTAGTTTCTAAACATCTGGACCAAATTAGGGATTTTAGTCTGTCACCTTAAAATCTTCAATTTTATGCCCATCAAAACTTATTTACCTATTCATTTGCACTTAACTTCAAGGACTACATTCACATCCATGAAGTTAAATGTGATTCTTACTATGTTGGAACATAGCCCATTTCGGGTCACTACGTTCTACAATAAATTTTAATAAATCAATTGGTCAGATTGATAAGTAAATGAAGCATAGAGTTTTAATCATCACAATTTATGGAATTTTAAAGCACTTCTACTAAACTACATTCCTTTACTTAAGCTACATTCTTACACATAATTAGTCCTCATTGCAGAGAGAAAGACAATAAAAACTACTCAGATCTCATGAGGAAGAAACAATAACACATGGAAATAAATAAAATTTTACAAGACAAGAAAAACAAAATAAACAAAGTACACAACTTATCTTAAACTCTTACCCAAACAATCCTTCACGTTCCTTTTAATCCCTCACTCTCTTTACAATTTACTCCAAAATTACTTAAATCTATAGTGAAGAAGATATCTCTCAGTTCTCCTCTTCTTCTTCAAGTCCTAAGAAAGCTTCCAAGACTTTATCCTCACTAGGTAAAATTTACTTCTATATAAAAGACTCCCTTTTCCTTCTCCAAATGTCTCTCTTTTGAATCTCCAGATATCTCTTTAAATAGAAATCTCAAAACTCTCAAGAGTTTCTTCAAGCACCTCTTCAAAATTTATCTAAATTCAATGGATCTTCTAGATAACTATCTTTAGCACCTAGGCTCCAGATTAACATTGGTTTTTTTTTTTGCTTCATTTGACTTCCATTTGCTCTATTTAGTGTACCTACAGCCAAAAACATCAAAAATACCTTACAGCCAAAAACATCAAAAATACAGCCAAAAACATCAAAAATACCTTTCTTTAAATCACAATATCATTAAAAATAAATATTAAATATACTAATAAAAGCAACATATTTTAGGTATGTCAAAATCCCCCATACTTAATTGTTACTTGTCCTCAAGTAACTTATTTCTTCTGAAAAATATTTTAGTATGTAGTAATGGGTTTCATTAAAGATCTCTATAGTTTTATCTTATAAATGTGGTAGTCATGACTTTCGGGAAATCTTAATATATTAGGTTAGAAAAAAGGCAAAAGAATA